TTTGGCTTTTAACCCCCCCCCCCCCCCTTCACGCAGTTAGGTTAAAAACAAAACTTGCAGGCCATAGTGACAGGGCTTCACAGCCTGTCTGTATTTACTCTGGAATTGTTGCTCCTGTACAATGGAAAGTACCAGCAGCTCTGGGAACTTTTGGTGGCGTGGATGGAGATGAAAGGCTTATAAAAGTGTCTTCACATGAATTGCTGATTCTGTTGGAAAATTTGTAGATGTACTTGCTTTACAAACTTAGGTTTAAGTGAAAAATAGGAAAGCAAGCTTGCATTTCTAAACATTAATAGCATAATTCCGGAGTCTGTAAAGAGTGGAGCTTACCATATTACCATAAAATCAGGTTTAGCCTTGCCTCATGATGGCCTGGTTTCTTATGGTTTTGACACACCATTGTAAGGTCCCAAAAGTCTTGGAGTTGCTAGTGGTAGCACCATCACTGGACTGGAAATAATACTAACAGTAGAATCCTTTTGCTGAATACTTGCTGTATTAAACACAACAGTGGTTGTAACATGGGGAGCAATTAATCTTGGGCCCCAACATGCAGCGGTAGATGGTCTATATAAAGGTAAAACTTTGAAGTGAATCATATTAGTGCTGTAGGGGCTCTATTCATGGTGCTTAATTAACTCTTGTTTTGAGGATATCGCAGGAGTAGCTTTGGTTTATGCTTTTCTTTTTAAGCGAACATGATTTTTGCATTGAACCTCAGTCGTAGGACAGCGGGCGTGTTCCAGGTTTGCTGTCTTTTATGATTTGTTTGCAGAATCCCATGGATGTTCATGTGGTTGGCTATAGCCAATGCATTCTGCCTTTTTTCATGACAGCATTCAAACAAATATTTTGTATGCGGAGGGAGGGGAGAGGCTTTGTAAGGCACTCCCCTGAGATGATGTTATATTCTGAAGAATTTTCGTTAGTTCAAGCAAGAATTAATTTGATGGCCTGTGTTTTATGTAGGATGCAAAGCATTACAACAGTTCCTTTTTGCCCTTATAACCTATGAATCTTTTTTGTCTTCAATCTATAGGAATTTCTGCAGAAGGAAATTTAAGAACAAGACACATATTAAGGGCTCAAAAAGCTGAAGCAAAGCTGAAGGTTCCTGCAGCTGCTACTACTGCTACCATGGATCCCATTAGAGAACCGACAGGACAGCAGGTCAGCAGGCATTAATGCTGCTAATTTTGAAGAGTTCAGATAATCATAAAATAGGTGTAAAGCATTAGCTTGCAAACATTTTAGAGTACCATGTCATTGTTGCTTTTTATTACCTTTACATAATTGCAAGCATGGATGATGGTTTAGAGGAAAAAATAGATGCAAGTTCTTCTGAAGGGGTGTCTACCATCTAAAGGCCATAGAGGCTAAACAAGCACAAACAGTGTGCTGCTGTGGCTGTTAAATATTGTATTTCCATGCAGAGAAGTATTGGCTTGGCCCTTACTGTCCATTAACACAATAGAAGTAAATTTGAAAATGCATTGACCCATCCCTTTTCTGCACCCATCAGTTATTTGGGGAGGTTGAAGTTCAACACAGAGAAATGTAAAGTCCTGCATGTAGAATCGAACAATCCCATGCACTGATATAGGCTCGGGACTGACTGGCTAAGTAGAAGCTCTGCAGAAAAGGGCCTGAGGGTGACGGGGGACAAGAAGCTGAATAGGAGCCAGCAGTGTGCCCTTGTTGCTAAGAAGGCTAATGGCATCCTAGGCTGCTTTAGTAGAAGTGCTGCCAGCAGATTGAGGGATTATTCCTCTCCGTTCAGAACCGGTGAGATGACATCTAGAGTCCTGTGTTGAGTTTTAGACCCTGCACTACAGAAAGGATGTGGAGAAGCTGGAGGGAGTCCAGTGGAGGGCAACAAAAACGGTTAGAGGGCTGGGGCACATGACTTCTGGGGAGAGACTGAGGAGGGTTTACTAGCAGCCTTCAACTCCCTGCAGGGTTGTTCCAAAGAGGATGGAGATGGACTGTTCTCAGTGGGGGCAGATGACAGGACAAGGAGCACTGGGCTTAAGCTGCAGCAAGGGAAGTTTAGGTTAGATATTAGGAAAAACTTTCTCACCAGGAGGTTAGTAAAGCACTGGAACAGGATAACCAGAGGGGTTGTGGAATCTCCTTTCTTGGAGGTCTTTAAGGCCCAGCTAGACAAAGCCGTGGCTGGGATGATGTAGTTGGGGCTGATCCTGCTTTGAGGAGGGGTTGAACTAGATGTGACCTTCTGAGGTCCCTTCGCACCCTAAATTTCTGTGACTCTGCATTCATCTGTGAAACATGATTTGGCTGGTCTGTTGGCATGAACCAGTAGTGTCTTACTTTACTCTTCCTGTGTCAGTCACCTTGGGCATCACTTCCATTCCCCTTGTCATGCTGAATCAGGATCTAGGTGCTATTTTTTGCACACTGCACCCAGATATCCAGATTGCATCTAAATCTTGCTGCTTCTTTCTGCATGATACCTTTAAACCCAGCATGTCCTGTACAGTCAGGCATCTGAAACTTTTCTTCCGGCTGATTTACTACATTATCATTCTCTACCACCTTCTCTGTAAATGCCATCCTGCTCCGCCTATATTCTTTTAAAATGTGATTGCAGGCCTTGTTTTGCTGGCTTGTTTTCTTAACCATCTCTCCAGTGGTGGCTTCTCCTCCATCAGATCATGTACTAACTGCTTATTTTTATTTTTAAGGCTCTTTTTGAGTCTGCCTCACCTAATCTGTCATTATTTATTTATTCAGGTGATTTATATGTTTACAGCAAGAGAAACAGAGCAACTTAAAAGGACAACTACTATAAATAAAGGAAAAATAACAAGTAAAACAAAATAAGACAGAGACTTCTTGGGCTTATTTTTGTTTCTGATTGGCTGCCCAAATGGAAAGGAGTTGCGGGGAGTTCCAGAGGTAATGTCACTGCTCATGCTGTTGAAGTGTTGACATACACTTCCACTCTGCCAGTGCCAGTCCTGATTGCCCAGTTGTCAAATTCCTTGAAAAAAACATAGGCAGGCAAGGTTCTTTGGGTAAATCTGATCTTTTATTAGACCAACTTAAATAGTTGGAAAACAATTATTAAGCAAGCTTGTGGGTTCAAAAACCCTTCCAACCTGTCAGTCCTGATTCTCAAAGGAAACTTACAAAACACTTCCCAGAGACAGCCTATGAACTCCACTTCATCAACCTCCTGAATACTAAAAATCATGGACTAAATATAGACATTGGATTTATGACACATTATAACCTGCCTGACATATGACTCCCCAGGTATCTCTCCACTATTTGTTGCCCCCACCCCGCCTGTCCCGCCAGCCTGTCTCTCACCCATTGACTCCTCAGTCTACATTTTCACTGACTACCTGTCTTGTATGCATACCAGCCCAGCCCCTGGCTTCTTTACTTTTCATTCTATCCAGGAAGAACACACACCAACTGCAGAAATTTCCTTAGCCTGACAAAGGGTTTTTGAATCCAAAAGCTTGCTTAATAATTGTTTTCCAACTATTTAAGTTGGTTTAATAAAAGATATCAGATTCACCCAAAGAACCTTGTCTGCCTATGTCCTTAGTCCAACACAGCTACAACCTGTACCCTTGAAAAAACAGCGTTTTGTACCATGCTGTTTCTTACACGTAGATGTAGCTCCACTTAAGTGCTTACAACCTGCCTCATTGTCCTTGAGATTCCTTAAAGCTCTCCTCTGCTGTCTTGCTTATTGAACACTTGAGAGTGGTTATGTAAGATGCTGTGCTCTGACCATTGCTACTTATCTTGTTTATAATGGTCTCACTGATACCTTGCGCTTCTCCATTTGTTTGCCTGTACCCATCTGCTGTTCTTCATCTTGTGACTAGACTGAACCCTTTTGGGCAGAGGCAGTTTTTTTGTTGCGTTTAGGCAGTGCCTAATGCTGAAGTCTTGATCCATGATTAAATTCCTTCTAGTTACCGTGTAACAAATAATGATCAAGTGGATCAAAGTTTGATTGATTTATTTATATATATGTGCTGCCCTTCTCAACAAAGGCTCAGAGTGGCTTACAGCAAGAGATGAAAACAACCTGTAAAAGCAAATGGAATAGGATCTGGAAAGAAGAGTTCTTTAAAAAGTAGTTTGGCTACCTAAATGCCTACCCAAATAGGAAGGTTTTGTAGTATTTCTGGAAGATATCCAGGCAGGGGCTTGGACAGGCCTCAAGGCAGAGAGAGTTTCAGATCTGAGGAGCAAGTACTGAGAATCACTTCCCACATACTTTTGGCAAGCAAAGTTGGCTTTTTACCTTGGTTATTTATGGTGCTGTCCCATTGCAAAATGTTCATGGTAACTTAGCAGCTCCGGCTTACCTTTATGAAGATAGAAATAAAAATAAGATGTATTAATTGCCACAGGTGAGTAGGGTTACCTAGTCCTAGTTGCAGCCGTCTGTCACAGGTGGTAAGAATGTATCATGAAGGCAGACCTGATCTCTTCATTTTGATGTGTTTCATAGTTATAAATGGATCCTGGTTTTCGCTGATTAAAAAAATCCCCACTTTTCAGTTTAAAAAAAAAAAAGTAACCCCAAATCCACATTTTTCTGTGAGTTAAATGAAACACCACTGATATATGCATATATATGTATTTAGTGGTGTTTTATTTTAATCATGGAAAAATGTGGATTTGGGGTTGCTTTTTTTAACTGAAAATTGGGGATTTTTTTTTAAATCAGAGAAACCCAGGATCCCTGGTTAATAAACCATTCTGCAATTATCAGGGTCAGTGACCCCTCCTTTTTTATAAAGAAAGTGGCCTATGTTCCTCTCTGACTCGAATCCTTCCAATCAGAGTTGATCTGATCTTTCATCATTCACATGAATGATCAGAGGACTATATAGAAGTCACGTGGTAGTCTTTTTGCTTGAGACTGAAAATAAAGGTCCTGTCAGGTTTGAGTAGACCCAGCGTAGAGACCTTGGGTAAAATGTATCCTATGAGACCCTTCCTTCAACACTGCTTGTGGCAGCAGGAAATGCAGAAGTCAGAAATGAGGCTGACAGAGGAGAGTGTGATGATGCTTGCAGCACTTGCTCAGTACAGTTGCTTATGGGCCAGTGAATACTGAAGATTGCTGGTTTGGACATCAGAAATCCCATGGCACTTTTTATAAATCAGGTATTTTATCCCCAGTGGCCTTGGCCTAAATTGTTGTCCCTCCCTGCCAGATTGAGGTTGCCTAACAATATCCATGTCAACAGATGAGTGTGCATGCATGCTTTGTGGATGAAAGTTTCAAAAATGCAAATTACTGGGTGAGGACTGTGCTCTTCCCTGACTGGTTGCAACTGGGTGGATGAGTGTGAATCTGGTCAGAAGGTAGCTTATACAATCTCATTTGTGCAGCGAGATAATGGTATCATCAAGCCCCATTCTAAGGAGTACTCTGCATGGGGAGGTGAACACATAGTATAACTTGGAGGCCATCCCCTCCCTTGCATCACTTGCCCATACCTCCAGTGTCATGAATATGCAAGGACCAGCTTTTCATGTTTTTTCTTTTTGTTATGAACCTGCTGGTGTCTCGGAGCACAGTATAGCTTAACCTGAGTTTGGGGGCTGCCTTGGGGGGGGGGGGGGGGGGTTTTAATTCCCCCTTTAAAAAATTTTTTGGGGCCAAGGGCCCC